GGGAGAAGTTTCCATGAGAAGGAAAAGGGGAAGGATTACCAGAGGATACACTCGAGGGAGGGGGGTTGTTTTTAGGGGGAGGATGAGTGAAGAAACAAGAGGCTGGAGAGCCGGTGGCAATGAGGGGCATCGTGAGAGGACTGGGGTGCAGTGGTGGTTTAGTGGGAGGTTCCTTGCCTTCCACGTGGGGGTCCTGGGTTTGGTTCCCAGAAGATGCACTTCCTGTGCAGCTCACACCCGCCTGTCAGTGGAGCTTTGTGTGTTGCTAGGACGCGGGACAGTCAGCGGCACTTACAGACTGAGACAGACGAGGAAGAAGGCCCTGGCAATCCGCTTCTGTGGGTCTCATCGGCAGCCACCACCGGGAAGGCGCAGGACCCAGGCCTGACCTCACCGCGGGTGGCCCCTCAGCAACAGCAGCACCAACAAGCCAGGGAACAGGGACATCGAGGGGTGAGAGGCTGGTGTGGTGTCATGGGCTGTGAAAGAGACAAAGCCTGCTTGACTTGCAGGAGCAGGCGGCAGCTGATGGCTGTGTGTGAGACCGGTTTCTGGAGATGGGGGGTCCTGGCAGATGGCCGAGAGCAGGGGCTGTACTCCCGCTGCCGTCGACATAGACATGGCGTAGACAGGCCAGCTTCACACACTGTCCGTGTGCTTGCACACCCCAAGGCTTCCCCTTTGGTCTTTGCACATCTTGGGAAGGGAAGCGTGGGTAGACAGAGCATACCACAAAATCTGAAACTACACTTCATTGTATTTTCTTAACAGTGTGTCTGAAAACGGGTTGGCAGACATGGCCTGTGTTTGTCAATAAGGTTTTATTGGAGCATGGCCCACCCCCTCCTAGTGGTGGCCATTTGGGGACCAGGAGAACACTTTGCATTCTGGGGACTTCTGGGTCCATGCCCGTGCCCCTCTGGAGAAAGCAGATTTAATCACTCATGCCAGGAAGGGGTCAGATCAAAAGCCATTGACTGGGACACCTTGTTCCGTCCCCCAGGAGGTGAGGCTGCCTTCAGAGCTGAACCGCCGGACAGACGGGCACGTGCGTTTGCTTTGTGGGTGGGGAGTGAGTAAACGCTGAGTGGACATTTGAGGACTTGCTCCCAGACCCTGGGGAGAACTTCGCTGCCTCCTCTGTCCAGGGATAAAACAGACTGAAGTTGTGAACATCTGAAACTCTCCTGATTGGTCACCCATCCCAGCACATATAGAAGCATGTCCATGTGCTCTGTCTTCCTTCTGAAGCCTCTAGCAGATTCATGATAAAAGCAAGCCAAACTCACTGCCGTCGAGTCGGACCCGACTCAACGATCCCTCCTTGGGTTTCCGAGGCACTATCACTACGGAAGTAGATTGTCCAGCCTTCCTTCTGAGGAGTAGCTGGTGGGTTTGAACTGCCCGCCTTCCGATTAGCAGTCAAGTGCCTTAGGCACTATGGCACCAGAGCTCCCTTTGGATATAGTATTTTATTTGAGCTCTGGTGGCTCAGTGACTGAAGCATTTGACTGCTAACCAAAAGTCAACCACTCAAGCCCACCAGCTGTTCCACGGTAGAAAGACTTCTGTAAAAACTGACAGCCTTGGAAACCCTATGGGTTAGTTCTACTCTGTCCTCTGGGAGGGCTGTGAGTAAGAATTGACTCGATGGCAGTAGGTTTAATATTTTATTGTGTTTTTGATGGAAATTTACACAGCAAATTATTGGTCCCCATTAAAAAATTTCTAGTTAGTTCATTGGCATTGGTTACATTTTTCACCAGGTGTTATTCTCATTACTTCCATTCTGGTTGCTCTGTTTCCCTTGGTCTAGCTTCCCTGCCCCACCCCCTTACCTTCTCATCTTTGCTTTAGGGTGAATGTTGACCATTTGGTCTCATGTGGGTGATTTTTAAAGGAGCACAGTACTCGTGGGTGATATTGTTTAGTTTACGAACCAACTTGGCATTTCCCTGAGAGGTGACCTCCGGGGATGCTTTCAGTTCAGAACTTAAAAGGGTATCTCAGGTGACTCCCCGGGAGTCACTAGTCTCAACGAGTCCACTGAGTCTGGCCTTCTTCAGAGTTCAAGTTCTGTTCCACATTTAGACATTTAATTTTTAAACACAATTCCCTTTGAGTCTGTAGACATTCAGAGAGAAACAGACCATCTTCTGGAATGTATAGACCATCTTCTGGAACATATGAGTAGACAAAATGCAAGGGTGTCCAGGCCCGTGTTGTATTTGGTTCAATTCCTGATGTAACAGAGCACTCACAGGACGGGGAGGCCGCCGGGCTGCGCTCCAGGAGACCCTCATCTCGAGGTGTAGGGCCCCCCATGCTGCCTGACGTCTCTTCTGCTTCTCTGTGAGAAGTCACTGAGCGCCGGCACTGCGGGTGGGACCACCAGGTGTGGGAGCCCCCAGTTTCCTGTACTTGTCTCGGCCTGGGGCTGGGGTGATGGCAGAGGGATTCTGGGGGGAGGCGACCCTGCGTCTGGCCAGTTGCCGTCAGGTCGGCTCTGGGTCGCGGCAGCGCCTCCACGGCTCATCCTGCTCCGTCCTCCAGATCCCGGCTGTGCCTGCAGCCCCCGATGAGCCTCCGGATGCTCAGTGCCTTCCATCCCAGGGGCTCAGCGGCCAGTGCTGAGGGTTCTGCTGGGCCCCGTGGGGCTTTCGCGGGCCGGATTTCGGAAGGAGGTCCCCAGGCCTTTTCTCCTCGTCTATCCTAGTCTGGAAGCCCCACAGGAACTTGGCCACTGTGGGAACCTGCTGGTATTTGAAATCCTGGTGACACAGCTTCCAGCATCACAGTGACATGCCAGCCACCACACTGTGACCCACGACAGACAGAGGTGGCTCAGTACCTCGGAGCTTTTGGAAAACAGGAAAGGACACGCTGATCCTCAAACGCCATTCTGGGAAGCCACGCTGATTCCACCCACCCCCTCCCAGACCCAAACGGCCTCCTCAGATTAATCCCTGACGGAAGTTTTTAATTGCTGCAGGCTTTTGAGACGCAGGGGCATCTAGCTGACCGTTTCAGAGTGCTGCCCCCAGGCTAATGCCTTTAGCAAGTCGCAGACAAGCCCCTCCCAGTGTATGCTCCGTGTCTGGTTCCTGGCCCCCACTCCCAGCCCCCACCCCCTGAAATAAGCCTAGCCTGTGCGGTCCAGTGCTCGGTCCACAGTCCTCTGCTCTCTTTAAAGTCGGCGGCGGGCACGATACAGACCCGCGTGCGTGCTAGTCCAGGGCTGCAGGCCAGCCTTGCCAAGCTACGGGCAGAGGACGCTTGCCTGCACTGTGCGTTCGGCTGCATTTGGGTTTTTTGTTCCTTTTTTCTTACCGTTCTTCTCTTTGGGCTTCTGAAATGGGATCAGGGAGGTTCTTGGGTGGAGTCATGGAGGGGCAGAGAGAATGCCGGTCCCCGGTGACTTTTCTCTACTCTCGGTGCCATCTTTGGCGTTGCCGGGTGGTGCAGTCAGTGAGCGCTCTCAGCTGCTGACCTGACGGTTGGAGGTTCTGATCCTCCCGGGGATGCCTCACAACAAAGTCCTGACAATCATTTCCAACAAAGCAGCCACTGGAAGCGCCGTGGAGCGCAGCTCTGCTCTGACTCACGTCAGGTCGCCATGAGCCAGGATCAACTCGCTGGCAACTCGTTTTTGATGTGTTTCCCTTAGCTTCTCTGCTCTTGCGCTAGGGCACGCCTCCCAGACCCGTTTTGCCCAGGGAAGCCACGTCTTCTCCCACTGCAAGGGATAATTAGAGTATGCCTGCTGCACAAGGCTTTGTGGGTGAGAGTTGGCAGGCTCGGTGTGCCATCCACGGCTGCGTCATAGGATTGTCTGCTGCCTCCCTGGGGCTCCCATGAGTGAGGTCACCCCGATCCGCTTAGAGGCTGACCTCGTTTGGCCTCGTTCATGGCGATAGTGGTGCCAGACCCACGTCCGTGACACCCAGCAGCACAGTCCTGTAATTTGGGACATGCTGTTGGCCTCCCGCAGCCTGCAGACCAGGGGGCCGCTGGTCTGAGCACCAGCCAGCTGGATCGCTCCTTTCAGCCAGAAGTTTTGCGCTCATTCTGGGGCGAGCAGAGCACATGGGTCAGTGAGCCCTGTGTTTGATTTGATGCCTGTTGAATGTAGCCCCTCTTTGTAGGTGGGGCACTGAGTTTCAAGGTGGCCCGTGTGTTTGGGGCTGTGCTAGGACTTGAACTTCTAATCAGGGCTCTCATTGCCGGTCCTCCTGAGTGTGTCCCCATCATCAGAGGAGCCCAGTGCTGGTAACACGGACACACTAGCAAGTGGCTGCAGCCCTGGAGAAGGTGCAGGCTGGGGAACTGACTTGTGTGTTCTCTGTCTGCTGTCCTGTAAAGGGCTAGGGAACTTCTGAGCTGATGAGTGTGGTCCTTGATGGGCACCCAGGACTTGGCCTGGGCCTCCTTCCTGCCCTCGTTATTCTCCCTGCAGGACCCCTTCTCACGATGCCTTCACTCCAAACCCAAAGTCTCCCAGGTCCCAGCCCAAGGCCCAGACCCCAGTGTGAACCCGGCAGTCACAGCTCTTCTGCCATCAACTGGTGTCTTTGGCACCAAACTCAACACGACCTGCTGCCTCCACATCCTCCCTGAGTCTTGTGCCATGTTGTCTGTCTTGGTGAAGGGCAGCGCCCTCTCTCCCGATGCCCCAGTGGGGTTGAGAGTGGGGGCAGGGGACAGTGTGACCCCATTCGCTCTGTGGGTCATCATTTACCCAGGAGTCAGGGCAGTGGTAAGTTTCAGGGGACACTCCAGGTCCTACTGTGGGAGCAGGGGACAGTGTGACCACATTTGCCCTGTGGGTCCTCCCTTTACCTGAGAGTCACGGCAATGGTCAGGTTTAGGGCACATCCCCTGGGTCTCACCACTGTCATGGCCAAGGGCCCATCACCTGTTCACGCCATCTCTGCTAGAATTCCTGGTGAAACCAGAGGCTGCCGTCCCTCCCGCCTTACGCTCTGTTTCCTGCTGCACAGGCCTTACTGAAGATGGACTGCCAGGGGCTGGTGGTCACACTCCTGCAGGACTTTGTGCTGCTGACCACAGCCGTCGAGGTGGCACAGCGCTGGCGGGAGCTGGCTGAGAAGCTCGCCAAGGTCTCTAAGCAGCAGATGGACGCATACGAGTCCCCTCACCGGGACAGGAATGGCCTGGTGGACAGTGAGGTGAGCAGTGGTGGACACAGGCCTCCCCCGCCCTTGGGCACCAGCGTAGCAGTGCTGACCTCCCTGGCTAACTAACCTCGCCATCCATGAGCTTCCTGCTGGTGCATCAAACGCAACCCAACCCAACCCACTTCCCTGAAGTCAACTCCTGCTCAGGTTCCAATCTTCATGGAAGCAAAGCCCCAACCACGCCTACTGCTCTGGAGTCCATTCTGACCCACAGCACCCCTAGAGGACAGAGTGGAACTGCCCACAGGGTCTCCAAGGCTGTCAGTC